ATACAACAATTCTCATTGTAGTTTTAGTGTGTGCGTGTATGTGTATATATACACTAAATATATCTATATTCCTTTTCATATTCTTTTCCCTTATAGGCTATTACAAAATATTGAGTATTAGTTTCCTATGTTGGTTATCTATTTTATATATAGTTGTGTCTTTCTGCTAATCCCAAACTCCTAATTTATCTCCCTTTCCTTCCTCTTTAGTAACTGTAAGTTTGTTTTATATGTCTGTGAGTCTGTTTCTATTTTGTAAATAAGTACATTTGTATCTTTTTTAGATTCTGCATATAAGTGGTATCATACAACATTTGTCTTTCTCTGCATTACTTCACTTAGTATGATAATATTTAGATCCAACCATGTTGCTGCAAATCCAGTGCCTCATTTCTTAATCTGAATTGTAATTAAATCTCATTTTAGTAGGAGGACTGTGTCATAGCTGTCAGTCCTCTAGTTTTCAAAAGAGGTAAATTTACGTGGAATAAAATAGTTCCTCCACAGAAGCACTGATGGAGCATTTGAAAAACACATGAAATTTCACCAGAAGTTATTGACATGGTACTAGTTATGCAATCCAGTTACTGTGCATTGAAGATCTATACATTTTTTAAGTACCAAAAACTAGTATGTTATAGTGTAAATAATCTAATAAGGTAATGAAGTCTTAGTATAAGTGAATATATTCTGTAGTGGTCTTCAGATACTACACATAGAATCCCATTTAGTAAAGAAAACTTGGAAGGAGGCTTGTGAGGTTGGCCCTGTCATCCTCTTTAATTAAGAAATACGTACTTTTCTAAAAGTATAATTGTACAATACAGTCACACTTGGGTCATAGCTTTTGCTTTTTAAACTTGTTAGTTTTTTGCCACAATACTATCAGTTGCTGCTTCATTTTACTTCTTGTTAGTGCTAGGTTAGTTCATCAAGAACTGGGATACTGTCATAGTGATGGACTGGACCAAAAGCATGTAGGTTCCATGAAGTGCCTCACATTTCCTCAGGTTTTATTATATTGATATTTTAGGATGCATCAGGCCTTAAGAATTGGTGAGAGTAATCACAACATTTTGAAACACCATATTTAGGTCTGATTATTGGAGCACACCGACTAGATTAATGTTTAATAGTGGCTGTTCTGTGCATTCACTTAGGTGGTTAGGAGATGGCAATTTTCTTTTCTTTTTCTCCAGTTCTGTTGAGAAAAAATTGACATACATCACTGTATAAGTTTAAGGTATAAATCAGGATGCTTTGATTTACATACATTGTGAAATGATTACTACAGTGAGTTCGACTAACATCCATCTTCTCATATTGTTGTTGTTTAGTCGCTAAGTTGTGTCTGACTCTTTGTGACCCCATGGACTGTAGCCCACCAGGCTCCTCTGTCCATGAGATTCTCCAGGCAAGAATACTGGAATGGGTAGCTATTCCCTTCTCCAGGGGATCTTCCCAACCCAGGGATCAAACCTGGGTCCACCTGCATTGCAGGCAGATTCTTTACCCTCTGAGCCACCAGGGAAGCCCATCTCATATAGATACAATAAAAGGAAAAGAAAGAAGAAAAGAGAAAGTTTTCTCCTGATGGTGAGAACGCTTAAGATTTACTCTCTTAACAACTTTACTATCAGTGTTACCTCAGTGTTACCTATATGTAGAGATGGCAATTTAATTCTTCTTTACTGCATTAACCTTTTGTTTATTGCACAGTTCATTAAGACTTGCTGAACAGTAGCCTTCAGAATAGGACCAGAGAAGGGAAAGTCTTTAAAACAGTGCAGATGTACTAGTGAATTAATTTTCATGGCTGAAATAACTACTTTTACCCAGGTTGGATTAATGAGACCAGACTTGATACTGCTTTCTAGGTAGAGTGCTACTGCTAAGTAACAACTCATTTTCTTGACTGCTTTCTGAGTTTTCAAAGTTACTAGGAGGTATTAAAGACCTGACTTTGTATGCTAAGTTCATATGTGGTTCAGTTTTTCATAATTTTCTCTATAGAAAGACATAAGCTATGTGTATACAGTTTAAAGAATAATCATAATGTGAATACTCAGGTAACCCCTGCCCAGATTAAGAAAAATTGCCAGCTTCCCAAAGCCCAACCCTCACCATGTGCTCCATCCAGAAGGTGACTCCCCTCTCTCCCTAGTCAGCTACTGTCTTTACTTTTGGCATTTTCTTGTTTCCCCTTATAATGTAGTCACTTACATGGGTATCCTAAAACCATATAACTTAGGTTTGTCTGCCTTTGAACTTACATGAATAAAATCATGTTATGTGCTCTCTTGTGTCTGGCATCTTTCATTCATTTCACTAATTTAGCTCGCTACTCTGGTGAGATTTTTATCTGTGTTATTGGTATCTAGTGCATTAAAAAAAAGCCTTTCCATATTTGCCTGTCTCTTTTTCCCTCCCCCTTTTTAAAATATTTAAGATCCCTGTAATTTTAAATGCTTTCTGATATTTATAATTTGCCTTCTTAGATTTTCTGCTAAATGAGGTCTGAAAACCTTAAATTTGTCTGAATCCCAGTTTTCTGAACTGACCTGACTGCCTCTGGTTTGATGGCATTTGTTTAGATGAGACTACATCTTTAAGGCTTCTGTGCTTAGTTAAAAATCTTCTTTCTCCAAGGCTGGTCCAAGGGTCTGGTCACGTGATTCCAACAGTGACATCACATTCTGACCGCCAGGGAACATTGGTGGTTCTTTAGGTGGTGTTTGTTCCTGTGAAAGGCAGAGAATACAGCAAGTGCCCTTCTAAAGCAGTTCAGACCGGGGCTCCTTCTGTAAAAGCTCCTCAACCTAAATGAGGAAATGCGGGCTGCCAAGGTTATTTCTTCTTTGAGGCAGAAAAAAAGAAAGCTGTGATTGAAGGTAAGCAGGCTTGAGCCTGGCCAAGGACCAAAGCATGACCCCAGGGAGAAGGGGGTCTGGAGAATCACAAGCAGTCTGTTGTCGGATTCTAATCATTGCCTGCTCTTTCCAAGCTGCCTGACAATTTGCGTTTATAATAGACTATCTACAAAGAAGGATGATTCAGTACTCATGTTACCCAGTGATGTAATAGCATTTTTTCTTTCCTGTTAGGAAGCTGTTGCAGATCTTCATTTTGTCTTAATATCCTTTGAACTGGGGGCCTCATTTGATACCTAGTGTAACATTAGATATCTAGTAGAAGCTTTTTAAAAATCAGTTTCACAAAATCCTTTGAAAATTTCTCCTGAAAGGAGCACACTTAAACCAGAGCAAATTGAATTGAAGCATTAACCTGCTTGAAAAAGTCAGTTTCTGGTTGGTTGGTGTCCTGTGTTCATGTCAGCATTTGTCTTGAGAATTGAAAGAGCTTGGTTCCCTCCTGCCCCACATACTTTAGCCTCTTTCTGCCCTCCTTCCCAGCTGGCTCTTTCCCTCCAATCTCTCAGACAACACACCAGCATTCATCTTTATCAGCATGCCACTGACATGATAGGAAATGCTGAGCTGGTGATTCAGCAGACAACCATTTCATGGTCAGGTATGCTTGAAGATACGGAAAGGACTTTGGTTAGGGGTTTTAAGATTAACTTGTTCACCTCCTCCACTCCCCCCCACCTCACCCCCACTTACTGTGATTTGGATTCTGCAGAGCTTTTCCTTTCAGCTGTGCCTTGTTTGTGAAAGGTATGCTGAACTAGGTATTTGGAAGACTTAGAATTTGTAAACCAGGTGCAACTTGGGTGTTAATTCAAACTTGTCCTTTGAGAGTGCTCAAATTGTCTGTTAGTTGAGGATGTAGCTGGGGGGAGACGAGGTCAGCTTGGGCCCACTTTAGCCTTCTCTGCAGAGGAACTTATCATCAAACAGTCTGGATATAGCTTTGTCCCTGCCAAGGTTGGTGTTGCAAATGTGAGCTGTGGCTAGTTGAGTTCATTGATGGCATTACTCTGCATTTTTCCTCAGTGTACATTTGCATGCATTCCTGAATATAGTTTTACATTTTGTGTTTAATAGTGAAATTTTGTTCTACCAGAGGATTGTGGAAATATGTAAAGAAGTTTGTTAAGTAATACTAAGTAACCTTGTGTAAGTGTCACTTCTGAGTTTAAATCCTCCTCCCTCATCCCAGCAGTTCATCAAACAAACTTGGGCTCACCTGATATTTACTGGGTTGTGGCTGTGTGCTAGACACTGGAGAAGGCAATGGTGAATCAGAGATAGGGCTACCCTCAAAGAGCTTCTAGTCTAGAAAGGAAGATAAAACATTTACTTAAGTTATTATAGTAGAAGTGCTAAAAACGAAGCAGGTAAATGTGATTGTTGGCCAAATGGATATGTTTCTTTCAGTTGAAGGATCAGGGAGGGACCTGTCATTTCTGAGCCATGCACTTTTCTTTAAATCTCTACTTGGAAATCTTAGACAGTCCTGGCATACTCAGTAAAAGTTTCCACAGGCCCATGACATCAAGGATCAAAGTCTTATGCCCATGGAAGTGAAATATGTACATTCCAGCCAGCTTAACTCTGGAAGAGACCCACATGCTTTCTTTGGAGTCCCTACTCAGGCAAAAGCCACCTCTGAGGATTGAATTACTGCCTTATAAATGTATTAATAAAATGGCTTCTGATGTAATTTGTCTGCAAAAACCTTTGACCCTTTTGTCTTCCTCCCAAAACATAAACTGAAATATCTAAACTGCTCCAAGCTCTTGTCTTTTGTTTCATACATCCTTTTACCCTGTATTTCAGCTGTCAGTCTCTGTTTGTACTGTCGTTCTCATCTGTCCCTTTCCATTCACACTGCCTTGAGACGCTCATTGTTTTGTGCCTAAACCACAGAAACCTCTGAATGTGAAGGATGTTCCTGCCAGGTGATCATTCTGCTTTATCAACATACCCTAACTATAGTCATCTGATAGTTTAAGGGCTCACCTGGTGCTCAGAAAGGAGGTATTAAAAATGTCCAAAGTGTCTGTATTACTAATGTCTTCTTTCTGTTCAATCCAGAGAATAGGTCATACAATGGTGGAGGAATAGGTTCTTCAAATAGGATGATGGACTTCTTGGAGGAGCCAATCCCTGGTGTGGGGACCTATGATGATTTCAATACAATTGATTGGGTGAGAGAGAAGTCTCGAGACCGGGATAGGCACCGAGAGGTAAGACAAAAGATGCTTTGTGAGCTGAGTGTTAGGAAATATCAGGAGAAGTTGAAAATATATATTCTTTCCATATATAACCCTCTGCCCTGGATGTGGCTGAATTTATTTTCTGTTGGCCATGTAGGGTTTTATTTTATTTTTATTTTTAAGGCATCTTGAAAATAATTTATATTTAATGATGATTTATCTTCCTATAGTGAGTGGTTGAAAAGGATCATTGGGTGTAAATGCCTATGTAGAAAGGTGAAAACAGTTGGCGGGAGGGACCAAAATAAATTTCAAAATCTTTCTTCCCCATCTCATCTTTCTTTATGGTTTTCCCTTGAAGCAAAATTTTTACAACTAAGAAAAGTAAGTGGACTCTTTTTAAAGAAAAAGAGTGTTTACTGAAGCTTACAGGATAAACCTGTGATTATAGCTCTTTTACAAGTATAAAACCAAAGCACATTTATGCATTGAAGTAAAAACTGCAAGACCAATCAAATTCAAATCAATGACATTAATTTAGTATGATAGTTAATAGAAGTACTTAGAGCTGTGGCTCAGTTTTGTTTTGAATATGACAAGAGAACCTCCATACTTTTGTCTTTTCAAAGTACTGTGAAAACTTCTCAGAGCAGCCCACCAAGGTCATTTGCCTTTAACTTACTGCTGAGTATCATTTAAATCAGGGAATCACAATTTCTAGTCTGAGTCAGGAGCACGTGGAGAGCTTTATTCAGCCCCCATCATCCTGATTCAATGGGAAACATGTCTTCAACCAACAGTAGGTATGATTATTTTTTCTTTTTTTTTCTGCTTTGAGTCCAAATTTAAAATTTGCTTTTTAAGTTGACTCCATTTTCTCCTGAGTTCCTGGTTTCCTCCTCTTAGACCTGAGTGAATCTCCTGAGCCGTCAGGTTCAGGTCACTTTTCATTCCTTTCCCGGCTCCCTGCTTTTCTCATGACCACCTGAGCCCAGGATTGTCCCAGGTACAGGTTTTGAGAAGTTTCTTTGTAATCCTTAGATTTGTGATAATCCCACTGAGTTTTCTTCTCCTAACTCAAAAAGGTGATCTCTATAAAACATTTTGTTTTTTTATAAGATTCCTGCTATTTGGGAACATATCCATGTATTCTATTATATTAATTCATCAGGCAGACTTTAAAATATAGTTTTATAGCCTTAGAATCTTTTTCTCTATATAATTCAGAGTTTAGTTTGTCATCATTTGCTTATTCAACATGTTACTCAGATTGTGAAAACCACCTGTGAAATGACAGGAGTACATTTCCCATTATATCAATATGGTTGCATCTGAGACACATTATATCAAATAATAATAATTCAGAATCAATTGAAATGTGTTTATCAAATGTTCAAAGGAGACCTTTTTTAAGCATTAGCTGTTCATCATCTGAATGGAAACACTGTCAGGGAAAAGTGTCACCTCATCTACTTTCGGCATTTCAATTGGAAACTTAAAGTCATAAGTCTAAATGAAATTTTAAAGTGCTTTTAACATCTGCCTGCTAATGCAGGAGTTGCAGGAGGCACAAGTTCAATCCCTGGGTTGGGAAGATCCCCTGGAGGAGGAAATGGCAACCCCCTCCAGTGTTCTTGCTTGGAGAACCCCATGGACAGAGGAGCATGACAGGCTACAGTCCATGGGGTTGCAAAGAGTCAAACATGACTGAGCAACTAAACACAGCACAGCACACAATAATTTATTACTCATGATGTAGCTGCAGATCAAGATGGGGTAGCTAACTTTCAGTTTCAAAGATAAGAAATAGAGGCAGAGAAAGGGGAAGTACTAATGCCAAAGTTGTCAGAATGCTTGGTTTTGAAATGTGAGCACTGAAGAGCTAAATTGACAAGGCTAGGGCCTAAAAAGGTAAACATTTCTGTGCCTCTTGATAGCTGCAGATATTCCCAGCAGGTTTTTGAAAATGAAAGAGATCATTCCTAATATCATTTAGGAACTACAGTCACTACAGTTAGGGGTTTGTGGTATCAAGTCTTAGAATTTGCCTGACCTGAATTACAGCCCCATGTAGTAAACTTCAGATTGTATTTTCACCACTCAAATAAGCCCATATTTATGTATTCTTTGAAAAACAATCAGACTATTTTCTGTGAGTCAAGAGACCATTTTAGGACTATCTGATGTCCAGGCCAGAAGGAGACCACTGCAGTAAGCAAAACAGGTTGATGTTATAAGAAATTAGCAGCTAAGGGGCTTCCCTGGTGGCTCGGTGGTAAAGAATCTGCCTGCCGATGCAGGAGCCATGCATTCAATCTCTGATCTGGGAAGATCCCATGAGCCAAGGAGCAACTGAACTAAGCCCATCAGTCTGTGTGCCACAACTGTTGAGCCTGTGCTCTAGAGCCTGGGAACTGCAACTACTGAGCCCACGTGCTGCAACTATTGAAGCCCAAGCACCATACAGCCCATAATCCAGGACAAGAGAAGCCACCTCAGTGAGAAGCCCATTCAGTACAACTAGAGAGTAGTCCCTGCTCTCTGCAACTAGAGAAAAACCTGAGCAGCAGCAAAGACCTAGCACAGCCAACAACAACAACAACAAAATCTCTAGAAGGCTTCTCTGGTGGTCCAGTGGTTAAGTATCCACCAGCCAATGCAGGGGACGTGGGTTCAATCCCTCCTCCAGTAAGATCCCACGTGTCATGGGGCAACTCAGTGCATGTGCCATAACTATGGAGCCTGTGTGCCTAGAGTCTGTGCTCTGCAACAAGAGAAGCCACCGCAGTGAGAAGCTTGCACACTACAACAAAGAGTAGCCCCTGCTCACCACAACTAAAGAAAGCCCATGTGCAACAAGGGAGACCCAGTGCAGCCAGAAATAATAAATAAAAGACAAAGGCCATATTAAAAATAAAAGAAATTAGCTGCTAAATAGGGAAGCCTTGAATAAGGTACTTGCAGGCATTGCAATACTGGAGATGAAGGTGGGGTTTGGTAAAACAAGGTTCAATAAACCTCAAAGTTCTTGGTGACTTTGGTTCAGCCAAAGACTTGAGAAGTAACTCTAAATTGGTCTCCTAATGAATAGGTTTGTCTTTGTGTTTCTTTATTGCACATTTTGATGTGAAAAAGCAAGGGTGTGTGTAAAATCTCTATCAATGTTTTCTCATTTCTCCCTAGATTACCAACAAAAGCAAAGAATCAACATGGGCCTTAATTCACAGTGTGAGTGATGCTTTTTCTGGCTGGTTGTTGATGCTACTTATTGGGCTTTTATCAGGTATGGTAAACCATGTTAACTTTCTAAACAGATTTCCTAAAATTGTGGTGTGCCTGTCCCCCAAGTCATGAACTGAATTGAATGCTGTGCTTTACTGTTTTCCTACATGAAAGAAATCACTCATGGACCTTTTGGAAGCTTGATGACCGTAACTGAAAAGAGGTACTGATACCTCATCTCCTTCATTAAATAAATGAGATTAAATAAGGAAATGCATTTAAGTGCATTTGTATACTATAAAATATTATATCCATTTTAAGATGCTGTTGGCTTATCTTGAGGAAGAACTTTTCTGTTGGAGATGGGATTTTTTTTGTTGTTTTCATTTTTTGGGGGGGAGGGGTGGGAGCAACTCTGTGACTGGCAGGATCTTGATCTCTGACCAGGGATTGAACCCATGCCCTGGCAGTGAAAGCATCAAGTCCTAACCACTGGACCACCAGGGAATTCCCAGTTGTTTTTTTAACATATACCACATGGGTAAAGAATCTGCCTCCAATGCAAGAGACCTGGGTTCGATCCCTGGGTCAGGAAGATCCCCTGGAGGAGGGCATGGCTACCCACTCCAGTATTCTTGCCTGGAGAATCCCATAGACAGAGGAGCCTGGTGGGCTATAGTCCATGGGGTTGCAAAAGAGTCAGACATGACTGAGTGACTAAAACTTTTGCTTTCTTTCATGTGGGATTTAGGAAAGAAAATGTAGAAGAGGACTTCTTGAAAGATTTTTGTAGTTACTTCTTAAACATCTTCTCTCTTCATTTAGGGGTAAAATATGTAGGACATGGCTCATACCCTTAAGGGGCCTACACTCTTATTCTTTCATGGTGGTTGAGGACTGGGATGGTACTACCTTTTCCTGTCCTCTCCATCAAGCTCCTAAGCCACTCCAACTATATGGTCTATCTAGGAATAGTATACTTGCTATGCAATACAGCTTCAAAACAGGTCCCTAAGCAGACTTCCCTTCCTGTGGCGGAAGCAGAAAACCAAGAATACCAGGCAGAAATGCTGAGATTTATATCCTCGTGGCATTAAAAAAAAATGGGCCTCGGAAGACTGGGAATAATGAGCTAAATAGAAGTTAGGTGGGAAATCAGGAGGTGGTTGGGATGGAATGGTAGTTAACAGCACAGGCTCTAGTTTGTGGCTTCTTGAATTTGAATCCCAGCCCCACCAATTGCTAGTTTTGTGACTTTAGGCAGGTTTCTTAACCCTTGAAAGCTTTAGTTTACTGACTTGTAAAATAGGGATAATAAGAGTACCTATTTTGCAAATTTGCTGTGAGAATTGAATGAAGTACAACATATATAGCACTCAGCACAGCACCCAGTTGTTCACATGCTGCTGTTACTTAGAGATAATTCATGAGCTGTGGGGTGTAAAATGATCACAGCAGCTAGTGGGAGCTGCTGCCATTCTGTCATAGCACCCTGTAGCCCCGTCTCCCATCAGTGGGCTCCTCGGGGGGACATGCAGGGGATGTTCACCATGTGCCACATTGTTTACATAAAACACCCCCATTTTTCTTGAACGCTGTGGCATTGCCCTTGCCTCTCCAATGCATAGAAACTAACTCTCCACCATCCCACCCCTCATTTCTTTGTCATGGGATAGGAAACTAAGATCCAGTAGGCTTGTTTACCCCCAGATACTTTTGCGACATCAGGCTACCACATAGTAAATCCAGTTTGTTATTTGATTCATTCTGTGTGCTTTGGTAACAGCTCGTGTGTTACAGCCAAATCTGGTGACAATCCTGTGTTTTCTACATCAGTTAAATTTCTGCAGGTCCATTTGCTAAAAAAAAAAAAGAAAGATCACAGCAAATGAGAAACTGCTCATTCATAGCAGAGTTTTCAAAGATTATTTCTGGGCCAGGGGTCAGCAAGCTTTTTCTATAAAGGGCCAGACTAAATATTTTAGGATTTGTGGGCCAAATGGTCTCTATAGTACAAATGTAGCCATAGATAGTAGGTACACAAACAAGCTGGACTGTGACCAAGAAAAGCTTTATTTAAAAACACAGAGGTGGATTTGACCCTCAGGCCATAGTTTGCCAACCCATGGTCTAGGGTGTTAATGCTGCCCATTCTCTGGCTCATACAGAAGAGAGAATATGGTCTGGACAGTTTAGAGCTGGCTCATAATAGACTGAGTGGGCTGTAATGTCAAATATTACACAGAGGCTGAAGAGAAGGAAGGGGGCTGAGAAGGGGTTATATAGTTTAGCAGTTAGGAGGATACAAGTGACCTTGAAAAAAATCTTAGATAAATATTAGTAGCCAGATTTTTTTTTTTCTTTTGGCTGCACCTAGTGGCCTGCCCGATCTTAGCTCCCAGACCAGGGATTGAACCTGGGCCCTGGCAGTGAAAGCACCAAGTCCTAACCACTGAACCACCAGGGAGTCCCAGGAGCCAGATTTAAAGGGGAGGCAACCACTGTAGAAGTTTTGGAGCTACTGGGTAGTCATTGGAAGGAGAGAAGGGACAGAAGCATGAGACGGTAGCATGGACAGGTGGAAGCACTGCATTCTTTAGGGTAGGGGAAACCTGTTAAAATTCATAACCAGGGAAAAAAGACCCAACTGGGAAAAGAAGAGGGAGACAGAAGGGAAGATAGGATGCAGGGTACCAGGGTTAGGTAGAATAAGACATACACACGTGAAACAACCAGAGAATTAGCCAAACTCTTTAACATCACTTAGTTTTCTGAATTCAGGCAATAAGTGCAATAGGGTTTAGAAGGAAGAGACGATGGGGGCTGGAGTGGCTGAGAGTAGGTTCAAACAGTTTGTCAGATTTGACTAGGTTGTTCAAGTGTGTAAATAACCTGTATTAACACTCTTAGCACCTACCAAAACATACACACGGCATGGCCTCCAGCCTGTTGGAACATAGGCGTAATATCCTCAACTTTTTAATGTATGTCTTGTCACTAGGTGGTCAGTGAATATTTTTCTTCCCTTCATACACACAGGGTATTTTGTTTTTAAGCGTTGGAGGGCAACAATAGAAGCAGTGTGTCTGAATGCAGGAACAGTGTGGGAATTCAGGGGCTGTGAATTTTATGATGTCTTTGCTATTTCCCTAAAGCACGATTCTAGACCATTTAATTTCTTTATTCCAGTGTTTCTTCATCTGGATAACAGAAATGATGAGAAGGCCAGAATTGAAAGTATTATAACTATCTTAACCCTATCAGTCTATTAGCCATAGTGCATGAATCCTCATTCATTCTCATAATTTTCTTTGAGGAATGATCTATATAAAATATTTTTTGCTTCATCTCACTAAGAAAACCAGAAGTTCATGCCCTAGGCTCAGAAGGCTTCAGCCTGCCTATAGCTTCATCTCATCTCCCATGTACATCACAATTTGTGCTTTTATAAATTTCGTTCCCTTAGCCTAGAATGCTTTTGCCATTGCTCAAATTCCCTCATTCCTGGTGCCAAATCAGTATCAAGACAGCCCTTCTCATAGTTTTCATCAGCTTCCCCCATCAAGCCATCTCAAATACATGTCATATAATATTCTTCAACATGGGCAGTTCACATTTTCTGTCTTATGTATAAAGTGAGAATAAAACAATCTTTAATAAACTTGACTTTCTTTATGGATCAGTCTTCATCAACTCTCAGAAGCAGAGTCTTTGCCAGGTGAGGCAGCTAAAAGTCAAATCCACTCACTCCACACCCCCAACCCAACCACTTTGCTCTCTTCTAAGTTTCCCATATAGAAATTCTGCAGACACAGTGTTTAGTGCAGACAATGCTTTTTTTCCCTCTTGAACAAGCATTCGAAACAGGTAAAATCTATTAGAGATAATAGGTAGGAAGCAAGCAGACAATCAGGTTGCAAAGGAGGTTGCAGACAGAATGAGAATGTATATACTTGTCGATTATTGTGATTCCTTTTCCCTTATTTTCTCTCACAACTGTGACCTTTCCTTCCCTTCCCTCAAATCAGGTTCCCTAGCTGGCTTGATAGACATCTCTGCTCACTGGATGACAGACTTAAAAGAAGGTATATGCACATCAGGAATCTGGTTTAACCATGAACACTGTTGCTGGAACTCCAAGCATGTTACCTTTGAAAACAGAGACAAATGCCCAGAGTGGAATAGCTGGTCCCAGCTTATTATCAGCACGAATGAGGTAACACATGGTGAAGACTTCTGAACTGCTGACTTAATTATTCTTACATTTACTTCATTTCTTATACTGTCCTCGTGGCAATTGTGGAATCTTCCTTTACATTCCTTTTCAGGAAAAGGGGAACCAGTGCCAGCTGCCTTTCTCTGTGGTTTAAGTGCAGCCCTGTTTCTATATCTTCTGACATGTGGAGTTTGATGCTTATACAACAACATAATTTGTTTTTTGCTTGTTTTAACAAACCGTGTTTCTTCTTAGTTGTTAGTACACGGTGTGACTGAATCTTTCTCTAGTAATTTCCATAGAAATGCCATAGTCAGCCAACAGATAAGCTATAATTTCTAACAAAAGATGTAATGGGTTAAAAATGTGTTTAAGCAAATTTTCCCTGAGCATTGTATTAGAACATTAAAAAAGTATATTCCTTAGCAAAATAGCAGAAACCCAGGAATGAAATTGTTCATGATCCCCTTTTGAAATTAAATTAAAATTTCATTTGTCCTTGTCGTCTAGCAAATCGTTTTGGATATAAAAGTAACTTTGTTTTTCAGTTCGTTACCTTTCTCTTACTACTTGATTTGTGTGTTAGATCTCTCCTACTGAACACAAAAGCACATGAAATAACTCAACTCCCAATTCCACTCTGGCTTCTATATAGGTACTTCTAAAACAGGTGCCATCTCAGTTCACTCCTCATCTACTGTGTTAGTAAAGTGAGAAGGACAAGACTGGAATAGTTGTTTGTACTTTTAAAATTTATTTTCATACCTACTTTGTCCACAAACAATTTGAAGGGCACACCACTCCACCACAGACTCAGTCAAGGCAAAAGAAGGATAAGAAAATAATGTCAGAAATAAGATTATTTATGTACATATCTGACTATGCATATTGGCTTGTGAAAGAGGTCAATTAGAGGATTAACTGCATACTATACGTGTGAGAAGTTTATGTTTGTGCTTCTCAAACCGGGTTAATGTCAGCATACCGGAGGGTATGTGAAACCTCAGCATATGTGCTGTGTGTTTCCCAAGTATTTGGAAGAGATTTTTTTTTTCAAAAATTAAATGTAAACAATTGTTATAAAGGAATGAAGGATTTCCATGTTTAAGATAAAACAGAATCTCTATTTCAGCTCTGCTCCTGTCTGGGTACCCCACCCCCATCCTCTCAGATGGAGAGAAGTTAGAGAAGCCCTGGAATTTAGCATGAGTCTGTGTGTGTGTGTGTGTGTGTGTGTGTGTGTGAGTGAGAGAGAGAGTGATTCCCTTGATTTAACTCTTTTATTTTTGAAGTACTTATAGATTCCCAGGAAGTTGCAAAGCAAGGTACAGGAAGGTCCCCATACCCTTCACCCAGCCACCCCCAGTCATGACATAAGTATGTGTGCATGTGTGCTAAGTCGCTTCAGTTGTGACTGACTCTGCAACCTTATGGACTGTGGTCTGCTAGGTTCCCCTGACCATGACATTCTCCAGGCAAGAATATTGGAGTGGATTGCCATGGTCTCCTCCAGGGGATCTTCCCAACACAGGGATCAAACCCGTGTCTCTTACGTCTCCTGCATTGGCAGGCAGGTTTTAACCACTAGCACCACCTGGGAAGCCCCTAACATTTAAGTATTTGTTGTTGTTCAGTCCCTCAGTCATGTCCGACTCTTTGTGACCCCATGGACTGCAGCACGCCAAGCTTCCCTGTCCTTCACCATCTCCCAGAGTTTGCTCAAACTCATGTCCATTGAGTTGGTGATGCCATCCAACCATCTGTCATCCCCTTCTCCCACCTTCAATCTTTCCCACCGTCAGGGTCTTTTCCAATGAATTGGCTCTTCACATCAGGTGGTCAAAATGTTTATAGTATACTAGCAAAACAAAGAATGTGACATTGTTGCAACCTGCAGACTTTATTTTCACCCACTTTATGAGCATAGAAGAGAAAGAGGGGGAAGGAGAGAGAGAGTGAGAGAGTGAGTGTGTGTGTGCATGGGCACAGTTCACTGTAATTTTAGCACATATATAGATTTGTGTAGCCACCACCACAATCAAAATGTAGAAGTGTTATTCCGTCACCACAAGGCTCCCCCAAGCTACTCCTTTAGAGCTATGTATGTGTGTGTTTAAGTGTTCCAACCGTAACTTTCAAATTGGAGATTTGCTCAAATGATAACTTTCTCTGACTGTCCTTTTAATGAGTGAAATCCTTACCTGGGGAGAGTTAGTTCTGGGTTTTAAAAAGAGTTCTGCTGCTAAGAACTTGGCCTCCTGGTCTCTGCTTCTAGTCAGTTTCAGCCACTTCTCCTTTCTTCCCCTTTCCTCTTTGTTTCCTGCTGGTCGAGTATTCTTCCTCCCTAGCTATATTCTAAAGGCTAAGAGAGAGCAATCGTTTGTTCCTCTCAGAGACTAAAGTAATGGGAAGCCTATGTCAAAATTATAACGCAGAAAAAAAACCTGAGTGTTAGTTCTCCTCGTCTAGGTCAATGAATTTTTTTGATAGTGTTTTAGGTTTTAAGATACCAAAAGTCCACTGAGTTTTGTGATCCATGTAATTTGAGTGAGTTTCAACTTCTAATATTTCTATCACCAAGCATCATATGCCATGTTCAAAATTTTTTTTTTTAAGGCATAGCTATTTTGCAAGGCTTTTAATGGTGGTGAATCCTTACTAATGGTCAAAATTAGATTTCTGGCAGACTTCATTATAATATATAATAATATATATATTCTTATATAAGATAAGTGTATTATTTCCATTTTAAAAAGTAGTCATCTCTGTTTTATTCTTTGGGCTATCTGACATCTCACTGATTTTGTCTGATGGTCACAGCCCAAAACGTTACTGCATATTCTTGCTACTCAACGACTACACCTTTGCTACTACAGTGGCAAAATTCTCTCAAAGATGTGGTCATCTCTACAGAGTATCATTGCTTATTTTAAGAAAAACACCCAAGAATTTTATAACCGCCTATGAGAATTTGACACCAAGGTAGGTAGTAGCCAAAGGTGAATTTAATGGAATTCTAGAGCCAAACTTCACTTGAAATGTGTAGCCAAGGTTCAGTCATTCCAATAAAAGGACTGCTAAGACTTTTAATGAAATTGACATAGTATATATATATATATTTGACTACAAAAATCTATCAAAGCACTCATATGGAAAGTGAATTTGCATTTTCATTCTTGTCCATCCTTAGAAGCCAATCTCAGTTTCCTTTGGGTGGAGCAAAATCCTCTCATTTTCTGTAGCAAATGAGCTGACAGTGTTTTAGTAGTTGCTTTGCTGAAGGTCAGGAAGAAACATTTTGAGCAATTTAATATTGTTTGTTTGTTTTCTGACCTCCTCTCCTGAAAACCCATTACTTAAGAGCTGCATGCCTCACTGAGGGCATCTAGGCTAAAACCAGCTTCTTTCTTTTCCCTCTGTTCCAGGGAGCCTTTGCCTACATAGTCAATTATTTCATGTACGTCCTCTGGGCTCTCCTATTTGCCTTCCTTGCCGTATCTCTTGTCAAGGTGTTTGCACCTTATGCCTGTGGCTCTGGAATCCCTGAGGTGAGTCTCTAAAATGGTTTATAATGGTTTATAAGTGGTAGCAATAATCCTTTTTAGTTAAAACCATTTAATATGTATTCCAGCATATACTGCAGTTGAATATTAAATGAAATCAGATCCCGAGGCAGTCTAGGGCCTTTCTAGATCTTCCCTTAAGTTTCCTCCTAGACTGGGCCACATAGACATTTAAAGGAAGTTGATTCCTAGCCTCCTATGGGTTCCTGGTGAACCAGTCCCCTGAAGAATTCCCCAACTCCCTAACCAAGAAGCTTTTAGGGTAGATTGCAGGATTCTGGTCTGAAAAAAATAGTGGTACTGTCAACTTTTTTAGAGCAGAAGAAATGAAACTATTTTGCTACATTTTTTACAACATGATTTGGGCTAGAAGGATGGTGATTAAAACCCTATTTCTAATGACTTTTGGTTTAGATTACTTGACAGTGACTGAAACCACTGAGATTTTAGGTTGCTTGGATGGCTTTGCCTCTCTCGGTTTCCTGATCAAGTGATAGCTACAGATTTTTTGGCAGAGAGTCAAGGCTATACTAGTAAGGGAAAGTAAGAAAAACACCCTCCCTCTCAGTTGCCCCTTCTCCACACACATGCACTCTCATACTTAACAGTACTCCCTTGCCCAGCTATCACATGCCCCCTGCCTCCAAAATAAGGGAGCATAAAACTTTTAAGAAAATTTCTCATTTTCTTGGGATCCTGGGTCCCCTCCCAAACTTGAGTCACTGTTTCAAGCTTTTATGTATTACTTGTTTAAAAGGTGCACTTGTTTAAAAGGCTTAAAAGGTCCTATAATAAGGACCAGATTTATTGCTTCTTAGCCTTGTTTCCTTACTTACTCCGTGTTCAATCCATGTTTAACCTGCAGATAAAAACTATCTTGAGTGGTTTCATTATTAGGGGCTATTTGGGTAAGTGGACCCTGATGATCAAAACCATCACACTGGTACTGGCAGTGTCATCTGGCCTGAGCCTGGGCAAAGAGGGCCCCCTAGTGCACGTGGCTTGCTGCTGTGGGAACATCCTATGCCACTGCTTCAACAAATACCGGAAGAATGAAGCCAAGCGCAGAGAGGTAATAACAAATGACCTTACCAGTCTCTCTCTCTCTCTCTTTTTTTTTTGGTGGGAGCACAAATGGTACAATTTTAGGGATGAGAATTGGGGGATTCTACTGGTGTTAATGCAAATACTCTTTGACCCAGAAGTTCCGTTTCTAGAAATTTATCCTGCAGACATTCTACCATGTGTGCACAAAGGTGTGTGGGGATAGGCAGTGCAGCATCTGTCAACATAGTGAAAAACTGAAGCAATCCAAATGGCCATCAGTGGGGGACTGACTGAGTAAACAATATTCTCTCCATACTCTAGAATCCTATGCAGCTGTTAATGAGATAATGCTATGTATACTAACATGGAATGATGGCTATAAAATACCATTAAACTTTCAAAAGCCAATCTCAGAATAACGTGTATAGTAAAAGTCAGTTAATGTTTTTGTAAAGTGTGTATATTTGCTCCTAGAAAAAATGGCTGAGAAGTGGTTTCACCCCAAACTGTTAAAAAAGAGTCTGCTTCTGGTGAGGGGGAAAGTGAGGTAGATGCTAGTGAGGAAGAAGTAAAGACTTTAACTTTTTATAATATATAATTCTATACAAGCATGTGTGATTTCTGTTACAAAATAAGTTGCAGAAATAATGGAAGACTTTTTAAAGAAGTTTATTCCTGTGAAAGAATATAGGTTCAGCATGTGTTTCAGATGCCAGCTTTTCTACCTTTTATTTCCACCTAACAGCATACTGTATTTGTTTCTCTGTATTAGATTTCTCTCTCCCTGCCTTCCATCTCAGCCCTACAAATTAGTCCCACTGCAGTATCTCTATAGTTGTTCTCATGTTTATACAGTTGTTAATGTATGTCATTTTGAGGAGGAAGACCATTTTTTAAGAAGTTCCAAGTCATTGGTTACTTTTTTCCTGCTATAATTAAGAATTTGAGAAAATAATGGTTCTTGATTTTTTTCCCTTGAATTACAAAGAAATCACATATGGAATAGGTCAAGACCAAGGTTATTTCATTAAAGAGGATTTTTCACAAAATTAGAACCTCGTGATTTATTCTGAAAGCAAAAGAAAACAAAATTCCCCATAAGACTCAGAAGAAAATTCAAAGATGTTGAAATTTCAAATATGGAATACATTTTGATGGTTCAAGGGGAAAAGTTCCTGGCAGGAGAGGTAGGCTAGCAGGAGAGAGAGAAGGAAATCCGAATAGGTTGTTTAGCTATCTGTCAAATACATAAAGGCAGTCTTATATTGGTGAAGTTGTTAGATAGGAATAATATATAACAAGCTAAAGAGATGAAAAAAAACATTTTAATTGGCAAGAGTAAAGTGTTGACTGTTGCTGGTTTTGCATAAGTAGAGGTGACTTTGAAACTGTAGATTGGTAATTACTTTCATTTTTATTTCATATAAAATTGGCATTTTTGTTCAAACAGTTCTTATAAAATGAAAGAGGAGTTTGATTTGGCTGTTTTTCCATACAGATATCATATATTTCTAACTAAACACATGAATAGTTGAATATGTCATTCACTTCTTATTGCTTATTTAGAGTTTGCAGTTATTTTTTCCTGGTGTTCTCACCATCAGCAGTAACCCTTTTATGTCCTCGGGCCTTGTCATAGTGGCCAGATGGTTGAGTGTAAAACAAGAGATTTGAGAAAGCAGGGCATAGATAGACTGCACTCCACAACTTATTGGCCAGTTCAACTCTTCCTTCTCCCTGATAATTCATCCTAAACAAAGTCACTGAAATCCCCTTTCTCAAGTTCTGTGTTAAATGTCCTCATCCTTCTTAAATGAAAACTATTCTAGTCTTGAATTTCAGAGTCCTCCCCAGCTCGCACCAGAGATCTTTCCCCAACACCCTTCATTTTCCTGGGCCATCCTGCACTTCCAGAGAAACCTACCTATTTGCCAAGAGCCATTTTTTCCCTTTAAAAACTGTCAGTTTTATTCAACTTCCTTTTAAAAATAGCCCCTTGATACCACACATCATATATCATTCCACAGAAACCAGAATCCAACAAACTAACTTTCTTGGTCTATTAATTCTGGTGTGTTGGTGTGTTTATCATGCACCTTTTACATTCACATGCCTATGGCTACTACATACAAAGATGGTACTCTTGAAATATCACTTGCTCTCTTTCCCCACCTCCTTGTCCCTTTTAATTTCTCTCTGACCGCTTCTTCCTCTTTCTCTCTCTCCTTACCTTTTTCCTTGCCACACCTAGACACACTTAGGTCTTAGGACTGTTCCCTTCAAAATCTATCCCCAACTTTGCTTCAAGTCACCCTCCTATTTCTGTTTCCATAGGTCACTAGGTGTGGAGTAGGGCACATAGTACAGGAAACTCTAAATACCTCTTGTCTGAATATTTGCAGCTCCTGATTAGCTGTGAGCCAATCGCTATTTGAAGTTTGTATCATTAGAGCTATCTTTAAAATCTCATTTTAAAAGCTTTTCTTTATAAAGAAAGTGCTATGTAAATCACATAACTGGAAACATTTCATTTAGGTGGTGAATAAGTCTTACAGACCATAAATCAGTTGTGGAATTGGGAGTATGGGGGATGGGAGCATAATTTGGAATCAAGTACATGCCTAAATTAATTACAAAGAAAAGGCCCTCTAGGTGTTCCAGCATGTGAACCATGGGTTCAAGATTCAGCAGATAGTGTTTGCTCTCAAAGTAAATATATTTTGAACTTCAGTTTTGATAAGCTGGGTATAGAGCAGGTAAAGTTTTTTTTGTTTGTTTACGTTTGGTAATATTCCTTTTAAAATGTGACGGAAGGTGGGAAAGTGGCCTTATTCTATCACTAATTTTGAGTTTTGAATCATAGGTCTTGTCAGCTGCTGCCGCTGCTGGTGTATCTGTAGCCTTTGGGGCACCTATTGGTGGAGTATTATTCAGCCTAGAAGAGGTAACTGCTTTTATCTATCTGTAGAGCCACGCTTGTGATTTTGTGCCAGAAATTCTGGCCATTGTCTGTGTCCCAAAGTGCTCTGCCCAACTTCAATGCTTTGCCACGGGACCAGAGATTTCCAGGCCATTTTCATCCTCAGCTCTAATTGCCACAGCACACTTTTTCACCCCAAATAGTTCCTGCATATTCACTTGAGTTGATTTTCTCGCTTTTTCTCCTATAGGTCAGCTACTACTTTCCCCTCAAAACACTGTGGCGTTCATTTTTTGCTGCTTTAGTGGCAGCATTCACTCTACGCTCCATCAATCCGTTTGGGAACAGCCGCCTGGTTCTATTTTATGTGGAGTTTCACACCCCATGGCATCTCTTTGAGCTTGTGCCCTTCATTCTGCTGGGCATATTTGGTGGTCTGTGGGGAGCTCTGTTTATCCGCACCAACATTGCCTGGTGTCGGAAGCGGAAGACAACCCAGTTGGGCAAGTATCCTGTCGTAGAGGTTCTTGTCGTGACAGCCATCACTGCCATCCTGGCTTTCCCCAATGAGTATACCCGAGTGAGCACAAGTGAGCTCATCTCTGAGCTGTTCAATGACTGTGGCCTCCTGGACTCCTCCAAACTCTGTGATTATGAGAACCGTTTCAACACAAGCAAGGCGGGTGAGCTGCCTGACAGACCAGCTGGCGTGGGAGTCTACAGTGCAATGTGGCAGCTGGCCTTGACACTCATACTGAAAATTGTCATCACTATATTCACCTTTGGCATGAAGGTAAGGAGATTCTTTTGGTCCTTCCCGGATATTTGTGTGTCTATAGGTTTTCAGGGCAAAGCCACGATACTATAAGATTCTCATAGTTCATGGGGTATGTCCAGTTTCACCCAGCGTTATCCACTACCCCACCCCAAGGCCCCTTTTACCCGCACATACCCTCAATATCCTCAAAACTTCTTAGACAATTGTATTGCTATCTAAAATTGTCCAAGCCTAGTTTTAGGCCAAATGCAAACCTTGGTGATGAGATTTTAAAAGTAGAAATGTTTTCTCCTTTTTTGTGGAAAACATATTTTGCTGCTCAAAAAGGATGGTGAGGTATTTATCCCAGTGCATTTTGTATCAAAGCAATATCTGACCAACACATTTTTGGCCCTTATAAAGTGGCTTTGGGGTTTACCAATAAAGCAAAGTAGTTGGTTGAAGTTGCCAACCATTTTAACCACTGAAATAGCAATTTCATATGGTTCAACCCAATATATAGCTAAATGTATTTTTTACAGTTGTTATCAGTGTCCAATTATTAAGAACTGCATAGGTGACCCTGAATTAATATTTAGATTATCAAAAGCTGATATCAAGACAGTATCTTTTATTTTCAGTACTTGTTATAATTTCCATGTGTCAGAGGAAATCAAGAAGGAAAATTTGTTTTTTCCTCATCTTCCTTGGTTTTTATGTGTCCAGGCAACAAACAATACTGGAGTGGATTGCCATTACCTTATCCAGGGGATCTTCCACACCCGGGGATATTCCTGACCCAGGGATTGAACCTGAGTCTCCTCCATTTCAGGCAGATTCTTTATCTGTAACCACCAGGGAAGCCCTTCTTTTCTTTAGCACTCAACTACCAATGCATTTCCTCTATTCTCTAGAGAAATAGATTCAAAACAGAAAATAAGGGCCAACAATGCAGTTTAGGGAGTACAGTAATCTCTGAATTCATATCCATCCTAAACATGTTGAACAGATTTGCAGTGCTTCTTGAGTTACTTTGCACCTCATGGCTTCATTCTTTCATTTAAAAGTGAATTTGCAGACCATCAGACCCACCCCAATTCAAATATATTCTAGAATCAAAGTTGTTTTAAAATAATCTGCTGTTTGGGTTATCCCTGTCATCATTTTCCCTCTCTTAGCACAGAAATTTGAGAATGCACTATTGTATTCTGGTGGTGGTGGTTTAGTCCCTTAGTCATGTCTGACTCTTGTAACCCCATAGACTGTAGCCCACCAGGCTGCTCTGTCTATGGAATTGCCTAGGCAAGAATAATAGAGTGGGTTGCCATTTCCTTCTCTAGGGATCTTCCTGACCCAGGGATTGAACCAGTGTCTCCTGCATTGCAGGTGGGTTCTTTACTGACTGAGCCACCAGGGAAGCCCCAATTACATTCTAGGAGTTCAAAAAAAAAAAAGAGTCAGGAGACAGATGGGGGTTCCTTTTTGGGATAGTCATGCAACCATAGTCACTACCTCATTAAAAAACTTTTTTATTCTTTCTTTTATACTGTTAAACTGAAACCTCATGTGCCATCCTTTTTGTGTGGGCAGTGGATAAAGATTCAATACATGAGAGTGATTAGAAGCATTGCATTTAAACCCCATCAGCAACATTTACTAAATCTTGGCCTTAGATGAGTTCTTAACCTCTCTGTACCTTAGATCCTTTGTGAGTTGAGGATAGTAACACCCGCCTCTTGGGGTGATTATAAAAAACCCACAAAATCCAGTCTGTAGAGCATCCAGCATAGAGCATTGTAGATAGTCAATAAAGGGTAATCACTGTTGATAAGAATTCAAAATTGGGTAAACTGTCTGCATATATGAGAAACTCCATCTATTTTCCTTTTTCTTTGGGAAAGGCTTAATTTCTACCTCCAGTTCTGTGTTGGTCTGGAGAGTTCAGGCTCTTGCCTGATGGACCCCGAATCAGGGTAAGCATCTTTGCAGTTGTACTTGCCTGCACGTCCCAGAGAACCTCTAGTCCCTGTAGTGTTACACAAATCTTTGCAGCCACTTGCTAGCATAGTGCATAGTTAGATTGTCATTGGCCTGTTCGCTTTGCAGAGGGTCAGTCCTCTAGTCCTTATGAGCCACGTAATTACATCACTTCTCACTGACCATCTGTTGCTTTCTCTTTACAGATTCCTTCTGGTCTCTTTATCCCTAGCATGGCTGTTGGTGCTATAGCAGGTCGGCTTTTGGGAGTTGGGATGGAACAGCTGGCTTATTACCACCATGACTGGGCCATCTTCAATAGCTGGTGCAGTCAAGGAGCAGATTGCATCACCCCTGGCCTTTATGCGATGGTTGGGGCTGCAGCCTGCTTGGGTGAGTATTGTTTGCATTGATTTCAAAGAAATTGCTACTAAGATGGCATTATAAAGATGAGTTATACTATACATGACTGACTGTAGGTTTTAAAAATAAAACAAACTATCCATTTCTTGTTGGGTTTGCCATTTTCAAGTGCTTTAAGAAGGCATTATTTACCATATATCTCCATTCCTCCCCTTTGAGAGGAATTCTCTCAAATTCTGTCATATTGAGGAAGAAACCAGAAATTTGGACAAAAATACCTGCACAAGAATGTTCATCATGGTATTATGTGTAATAGCAAATAACTGTAATCAACCTAAAAGTGCAATAAGGGACTGGTTAAATAAATTATGGTACATCCATATAACACTATTCCATGGAGCCACTGAATGTGATGCTAATGTGTTTAATATTTTTAAATACAATTTAAATAAATTTGTACTAATATACAAAGTATTCCTAACATAAAGTTGGGATAAAAGGCATGGTGGGGAATTTAAAAAATATACAAATTCATCTATATAAAAACATGTTTTTGAAAAAAAGTCACTTGAAATTTTTACTCAGCATATTTCTAGGCAGTGAGTTTACAGGTAAGACTTTCCTTTATATACTTTAAAGATATATATAGTTTCCAGTTATTCTACAGTGGGCCTGCATGTCCCAGAGAATCTCTCACATCTGTGGTTTTATATAAATCATAGACATCTTATGCAATTACTTTTATTATTGGGAGTTGGTGGGGAGCAACAAACAAATGAAAAAAAGAGTGAAGGAGGTATCTTTTGTAGAGGTTATTTTGAGAAGTGTGACTCATGTCCATTGCAAACTTGTTTGAATGTAGTTGCAGGAGTCTATGCAGTTGTAAGTGAGGGCCTCCTTTTAGTGATGTTTCTGGTAAGTAACTTTTTCTGGATGGGGCCTGTGACAGGCCCATAACTGTAATGAATCCTATACTTTTCCTGCCTTCACTAAGTAGCCTGTTGTCTGTTTTTGCAGGTGGGGTGACTCGGATGACTGTTTCTCTTGTTGTCATAATGTTTGAACTAACTGGTGGCTTGGAATACATTGTGCCTCTAATGGCTGCAGCTATGACAAGCAAGTGGGTGGCAGATGCTCTTGGGCGGGAGGGCATCTATGATGCCCACATCCGTCTCAATGGGTACCCCTTTCTTGAAGCCAAAGAAGAGTTTGCTCATAAGACCCTGGCAATGGATGTGATGAAACCCCGGAGAAATGATCCTTTGTTGACTGTCCTTACTCAGGACAGTATGACCGTGGAAGATGTAGAGACCATAATCAGTGAAACAACTTATAGTGGCTTCCCAGTGGTGGTGTCCCGGGAGTCCCAAAGACTTGTGGGTTTTGTCCTCCGAAGAGACCTCATTATTTCAATTGGTAAGGATTTCATAAAGGGGACAAGGGGAGGTCCACTATGGAAATAATAAATAAATATGCATAAGGGGAGGGGAGGGATAAATTAGGAGATTGGGATTAACAGACATACACTACTATATATAAAATAGATGACCAACAAGGACCTGCTGTATCACACAGGGAACTATACTCAGTATCTTATAACACCCTGTAATGGAAAAGAATCTGACAAAACAATGTGTGTATATATATATATATATATATATATATATATATATATTTGTATGTGTGTGTGTATGTGAAAGTTGCTCAGTCATGTCGACTCTTTGCAACCACATGGACTGTAGCCTGCCGCCTCTGTCCATGGAATTCTCCAGGCCAGAATGCTAGAGTGGGCAGCCATTCCCTTCTCTAGGGGAGCTTCCCAACTCAGGGATTGAACCCAGGTTTCCCACGTTGCAGGTGGATTCTTTACCATTTGAGCCACCAGGGAAGCCCATAGAACAGAATCATTTTGCTGTGCACCTCAAAATAACACAACATTGTATATCAACTATACAATAAATAAGCATGCAAGCATGAAATGGGGAAGACAGAGGGGAGAGGGGATTGGTTAGGGGCCAGAAGGATAGAATCAGTCCTTCCTTTTTCAACCTTTTTCCCCCTACTTTTTTCAAATAGAAAATGCTCGAAAAAAGCAGGATGGAGTTGTGAGCACTTCCATCATTTATTTCACTGAGCATTCTCCCCCAGTGCCACCATACACCCCACCTACCCTCAAGCTTCGGAACATCCTGGATCTCAGCCCCTTCACTGTGACTGACCTTACGCCCATGGAGATTGTGGTGGATATCTTCCGCAAGCTGGGACTGCGGCAATGCCTGGTTACACACAATGGGTGAGAGCTCTTTGGTGAAATCAGATTGGGTTAGGAGAAGAAAGAGAATGTAGAGAGAGTAAAGAAAGAAGAGCCCAACTCACAGGAACGTTAGTAGCACTTATAGACCTTTTGGAAACTCTGAGTTGAAGATGGATATGTTTCTCTCATTGTCATAATAGAGAAGACGTTTGGGGAAGATAGTGGGTTTGAGAGATGTGAACTGCTGGTTGCACATCATAAATAACTCAGTTCCTCCCCTACAAAGGAAATAATTGTGTTCTTATGAATAGGCAGCACTGAAATTTAAATGGTACTAGGTAGTACATGTATGTTATTTCGTCCTTACAATACCTTCATCGTTATTATTTACTGGTGAGAAAACCAGGTTCGAGTGAGGTTTAAAGATTTGCACAGGACACCCCAGTTGATGTCTAGTTGAAGTAGGCTTTAAACACAAGTCTTCTGACTCCTATGGCTAAGGCTCTTTCTTTCTGAGATATTTCTTATCAAGTAAAGGAAGCCATGTTATTTTTATTGGGGAAAAAAAAAAGCAGGTTGAGGAGAAGGGTGGGTTTTTGTGTATGTGTGTGTGTGCTTGTGTGAACATGGTAATGTTAATCTAGTGATTATATAAGAATTGCACCCTTGAAAATTTCTGAATAATGTAACAGATGTCGTGCAGAATTGAAATCAGTAAGGGGACTTTCCCTAACTGGTTCATTCAATCTTAACTAAATCTGAACTTCATGTAGGAACATATTCCACTAGATTCTGGGAAGAAACAGAAATCAAAGAGACCACTGTCTGCCCTCAGGGAGTATGCAGTGTTCTAGGGAAGCTGATAACAGAGCAAACTGGACAAATGCTACAGAAGAGATGTGCACAGAACATACTGTTCCTAGGAGGAGGGCACAGTTAGTTCTGGCTCGTAGGATCAGGAAAGGTGTTCTGGAAAAGGAATATTTGAACTGGGTTATGAAAGGTAAGACTTGTATATATAGAGAGTAATATACACAGGAAATAGCAGGACCTAACACCTAGAGGAAGTAATGCTTAAAGGGACCCATGCATTGGTCCATTTACCTGGTATATGTAATCTAGTCCTGTTATCATTCTATAAGTGCAAATTGTGTTCTAAGACGAAGTTGAAAATGACAGAGGAGGAAAAGTGTCACCTTTGTGAATGTTATTTTAGCTACAAATTGATTTTTGTTTGTTATCTTGTTTTATCTTTTAGGCGATTGCTTGGGATCATTACCAAAAAGGATGTGCTAAAGCATATAGCACAGATGGCGAACCAAGATCCTGATTCCATTCTCTTCAACTAGAATCACAGGGTTTTACTGGATATAAAACAGGAAGGACATTGCAGACTATGGATATATTTTATTAACTGGGTACCCAAAACACATTTCCTACATTTGGGTGGTGAAGTTATATCAGTGTGTTGTCTCTTTCCTGCAAATTAACCAGTTGCACTACGTAATCTCTGGAAATTATTCTTCTCTTTAGGAGAAAATTCTATTAGGCTTCTGTGATATTGCATTAGGAAGATTTCATGAAAGAGTAAACAAGATTGCTATGATTTAATTATTTTCTTTCCTTTTATTTAAAGATTTTTTTTTAATTTAAGACATAATTGTTGGCCAATATGCAATCACTGAAAACTATGCAAGAGAAATTCCAAATGTCCTGACCTATAGCCTGCAGGAAGCTCATAAAAAAGTCACTTTTTTGGACTCTTAACTGTCATTGGTGGAAAATGAAGTGTAAACTAAGGGGCTTTGCTTTTCCAGCCACAGGAAGGAAAGCCAGAAGGAAAATAGTAATGGTATTTTCCAGACTGTGAATTCAGTTCAAATATTATCTTGTTCCTGTTACAGTATTTAGCATTATTAGTTTTGTATGTTTATGTATATGTTAATTCTAATGTCTGATTATAAGACAATGCTGCTTTGGTTAATCTCCTCTAAGTGAATTTAAAGAGATTAACTTTTATAGCTTGCTTGTTCCTGGTACTCTTTTGACGTGCACAAAGATAAATTATAGAATTTTCTCCTTGTCTGCAAATAGGCTAATTTTTCCAGGTGGTCTTTGTTAGCTAGTAGACAAAGACTCGGCCATGAATTTGTTAGTAACAAGGAATGATTTCTCCAGCTTCCTTGAAATGATTAGTAAAATTCTAAGCAAAGTCAATGACTAGGTCTTTCACATTTTTGTGAAGTCCCAATTAATCCTCTTACCCAGATGCCACCTCCATGAGTGATGGTGCTTTTGGCTTCTGGAATATACAAGAACAGTAAAGGGAACCAAATCTAGACTGCATACTGGTAAACCAGGGAAGATTCTGAGCTGTATCTATGTTTTCATGCATTCCTTCGTTACAACCACCAGTACTAAAATGACTGGGCACTCATGCCTCTTCCCAGTGTTAAGTACATTTAACAGGCCAGTGTTTTCCCCATGATGGTGAATTTAGGCTTGGGAGTACTTTCAGATATATTCAAGGCATTGGAACAGGATCGGCAGCTCTGACTCCCTTGAGGCTTCTTAGACTTCTAAATAAAATGCAGAACCATCCTGAGACCCAGGGGTGTGTACAAGGCCTGGTGACACCTTAGGTGCTTGTATCCAATTGAAAAGGTGCCTGTCTCAATTTCCTACCACCTTTACTGCAGTAGAAAACATCTAGGGACACCCGGTGGAGTTACAGAGCCACCACCATCATTCCAACTACGTTTTCTACGTTTTTACCCACATGCTGTTGTTTCCCCTCCATTCTTCTCCCTTTTCCATGCCTTAGTCCTGAGTCCTCTCTTTGGGATTGAGCACTGTGCCCAGTTAATCATTCCTGTTACAAAAAGATAACTCCTGGAGCTAGTTAAATTGTAAACCCAGCCTCCAGAAGCTTACAGCCCATGGACCAGAGAGGCAACACACAGCCATTTGCTTTGCTCTATAGTCCAATAGCTACTGCCATGCCTCCATTCCCACGCTGACGCCCACAGCAGTGAGACTCAAATGCTAGGGGAGAGAGCTGAACCTTTCCCATTTTCCAAGTCTGTTCCCAGCGCTTCCCACCATCCTTCCAGCCTAGAATCAGCAGTCATTCAGCATAGCCTTTCCTTCCCTCTGTCTCCTGTGTTCAAGCACCTCAGTGTACCTCATTTTTTAAAGTTGCTGATCTCTGATTCTAGGATTTTTTACCCCTAGTTCTTATGTTTCCAAAATCTGAAATTCTTTTATTGCCCAGAACTAGGGAGCCAAGGCTTATTTTGATTTTTAGCTTTAAAGTATCAAGGCAGTCACCAGAGCTTTTCCTTTAAATATAACACTCTAGCATTTTAATGAAAAAGAAAAGACCCTCCCTAGGTTTTATTATATTATAGTCATGACTCAGTAACTTCACAAGCGACAAGTAAGTCATTTGTCTCTTCTTTGCCACTGATTCCCTCAAAAGAGATGTGGCTATTTGCCCTACCACCACATCTGTTGTGCAGAAATCAAAGTTCTTATGTGTGTACTTCTGGTTTACTACCTATCTTTTCTTATCAGCTGTCCAACTAAAGTTTGCAAAACAGGAAATGTTAATATTTCTGGTATTTGATGACAGTGAAAGGTTTGGTCACATTTCTTAGGGCAGCGGTGATATGGAGGGTATATAAGTTTGCCTTTGTGTTTCTTCTAGGCTCTGTTTTTCATTTGAAACAGATGAGCCAGTGTTCAGGTGCTACTTCAGAGAATAAATTCAAGAAATCAGATAATACTGTGCCAAGGTATACCTTCTAGATGCTAAGCACTGATTGGCCCGCCAGAGAAAAACATCCCTTTGATACCTCACTCCTAATAAATCTCATTCATTAACCTCAGCTTCTCAGGAATCCTTGTAACTATATGCTAAAAGTACCTGTAGTTTATGATATCCATTATATGTCCAGTCCTATGGTTTGGCTCAAAGTTTGGCTAATTGTGGTAGCGCTCTCTGCTAGCCTGCTAGCTCAGCACCTTAACATTCAGAGTTTCTTATCTTGAGGCAAAGGAAAATGTTCTTTCTGCCGTTGCCAATTCAGCAGTTATACATCATTAAACCAACAGAGCTGATATAGGGAGGTCTGTGAGTAGTTAGAAATGGTCGCATACCTCAGTGGCAAAAGACTGGGAGACCAGTCTATTCTGGTATTGAGAGAAAATTTCCCAACACAAGGGAAGGATTTCTAAAAGAATGCCAATAAGCACTTCGAGAGAGGGTTTTCCAAAGCAAAATATCTGTAGGCATCCAGCCATGAAAGGAGTGAGTGTCTAGATTTTTTTTGAGAGTCTAGATTTTAAAAAATCTAACAGCTATGTTTTGTATCTTCAGATCTTCAATGTAAAGAATTAAAGAAACGAATAAAGCTGAGGCATGTTTGGATACACCATTGGCAGAAGCAGGGAACTGACTGAACATGCAAAGTAATGGCCACTTTTAAGATCATTTCTGTTAGTTCAGACACTCTCCTCTTTTCTGGCTCCAGTCTGGCTCAGCCCAGCTGTGGAGTAGAGGTGGTATAATCCATAGAACCCATATCCTCTGGTGGATAATCTGACATTGACAATACTTTGGATGTGCCAACTGGCAGAGCAGTCAATCTGTTTTGCTTCTGGAACTGCAAAGGAGTTCAGTTGTTTTGACACCAGAGACTGAATCTGAACCCTTTACAGAAAGAGCAGAGAACAGCATCAATTTCTCTATCAAGTCTTCAATTGCGCTTGACCACAAGAATGATAAATTAATGGGGACTTTGTGTGGTCTAAGACTGTGAAGTAATTCTTAACTATGAATTTATGAACCTATTCAGGTGGAGGGGAGGAGCAAATATGTTTTTTTAAAAACAACGTGCAATAGAGTCCAACAGGGAAAGTAATCACCACTGTATGTTTTAAGTATTTGAATCACCTGTCCTGGTTGGGTCCTGACCTTGGTTTGTTTAGTTAGGTGGTGAATATACCCCATGGTATCTTTCGGTTTTGTTTTTTTAATAAATCATAAGGAGTGCAGTTTTTGAAGTTGAATATTTAATAAATGATAGTGAAGACAGTTATTGAAAATTTGAAATGGCCAGTGTGTTTTATATTGCTAAAGTACTTACTGGTGATGGACCACATTGTATTGTGAAGAATTGTTTTACTTTTATCAACTCAGAACCATACTCAGGCCACTCATCTGTTCAGAGAAAGCAGGAGAGTGTCTTTCATGGTGGTACATAGAGTATTGAGCTCTTGAAAACCCGGAGAAAAATTAGGGGTTTAGAAAGTAAAGGGGAGGTGGAATGGTGAGTCCTTAAAAAAATAGATGTCTAAATATGTGGTCTGAACTTAAGTGTCTTACAATCTTGATTTTTTTTAAACCACCTCTGGGATTACCTGGATTCCCTTTGGAGAGAGGGTGGAAAGTTATAGCAGTGGAAAAACCCTAGTAAGAAAATATATGAATTCTTGTAAGATGGTGGGAGGAAGGTCATTCCATTCCCCAAGCCAAACACCCTGACATTTATTAAACTGCTTGATTTATGTGCCTCAAGGGGAGAATAGTTAGTAGTGGCTGAAAGAGCAGGCTTTCCAAGCAACATAGAGGCTCAAAGCAGCATTTGGTTGGAGGCAGTCTACTTTTATGGAGAGGGCTGACCCAAGACCAGACATCTGCTCATGGAGGAAGGCAGTGTCTCCTGCCATTGCCTAAATGATAAGCTTTTGGTAGATTATCTTCAATTTTGATAGCAAAATATTTAAAAAATCTATGTCGTTAGCCTCCTTGGTATATGCTTATTCTATATTAGAAAGAAAAAAGTGACAGTGTCTCAGAGCTCAGGGAGCTTTGTAAATTTGAACTGAAATTGGTGTAGTAGACCTGTGGCGACCACTCAACTGTGCTCTGCCTCAATTTTGATTGCTTGCCCCAAGGGGAGACTTTCTTGGACTAGTAGGTGTTAGCAACTTCAAGTCACTCCCCAAATGTTTGCTGGTCACATCTCATTTCTAAACATCTGCATCTGGGCAAAGTTTTGAAGTGACATAAGGAGCAAAATTGATTTTCCACCATGTAATCTTATTTTGCCAAATCATCCAAGAAAGAAGGAAAGTCTGTGATGTGTGGAGTTTGCATTTCTTGGATGGAACCTGTCAGGTCATCCAGTTCAATTCCACAGTCATAAATTCCTACCTCTTTAAGTTCCTGCCAAAGGGTCTTCAGCCTCTGTGTGCACACTCATTGCATGAATGCCTTGCCTAAAGTTCAGCCTTTTAAGGGGAAAAGGCGTGTGGTAGTATACAATGTGAGGGTTTAAATAAA